CTAAAAAAAGGGATTTTTGGTAATTAATGAAAGAGTAGGGAAAGGAAGTAATTTCTTTCTTATACTATGTCATTTGCCTAATTTTTACATAATTTTTCCCTTTTAAAATTAATAGGATTATTCCCCAATAGCTGAAAAGGGGCTTTATAATTGGGCCGCACTCGACCCGTTGAAGGTCCAATTGAGTTGGATCGGGTGTCTGGACACAGGGATAGAGAGAGAAGAAGAAGAAGGTTCTGGTTTTTATTATCCTATCCAAAAACTCAGCTCAGTGTTGTTTCTTCCTTCCACAAAAGGATTTTGCAGAAGGTTTTGAGCAATGGCGGCTCTACAGAGCTCCTTTACTGGTCTCTCTATCTCCTCCACCTCCTTCTTCGGCCAACGCTTCTCTCCTCCTCTCTCCTTTCCTCTGGTATGCTTTCTCATAACTTCCACTATTTGGTTTTCAAAATGAATTTTCTCAAATGTCATTTTTTTTTTGTTCCTATAACTGTGTCATCTGGTTCAGCTTGCTTACAATTCGACTAATTACGTAGAATACCTGCTACCTCTAGCCAGAATTGAATTGTGTTGCGAGTAACTTTATGCATCGAGTCTTACACAAATGCGAATAAATAGGCTAGTGTATTGTGATTTGAACCAGCACCTCATAGTTGTCCACCACTTCATTGACCACTAGGCTATGACGCTATGTCCTGTCTGCTTTATCTCAATTTCAATTGTCCTTGTGAAAGTTCTTTCCTTGAATAATTTGACCTCTATGTATTAGGGATCATAGGACAAAGGTATCTATCTCCATTGTACTATTGATTAGAAATTAATTTTCTATTATTTGATTACTATACACTGTGGACTTCTTCTCTGCTTGGTCACCATTGCTACCTGAATCCTTTCTCATATCATATGTTTTTTCGCCATTATAAGTTTTGACTGCGCGTTTGGTACGAAAGAAAATGTTTTCCTAGAAAACAAATGTGGAACTTACTAATTTTCTAGTGTTTATATAGTAACTAAGCTAGATAATATTATCCCAAGAGCATTTATATATTATATATCCAACAAAATACTATGGAGGCGAGATGGGATGGGGAGTGGGGATTCGGGGATGGCCGGAGGTGATATGGTCAAGAAGTGGGAGTTGGAGGGATTGGGAGTGTGCGGAGGAGATAATCAACTTGAAATGCTACTTATCCATCTTGTTTTCCTTACTTCCACTAGGGAAGCCATTTTCTTCATTTTGAACTTGAACTTGTTTTCCTAAAGAAAATATTTTCCAAACATAGGAAAATTGGAACTACATACCAAACACAGTGTATTTCTAGCTGCAAGAGAATAATTTAATATATAAAGACATCTACAATTTGCTGCAGTAGTTCCTCAAAGGGTCTTCAAAAAGTCAAGTATATTAAGAATATGCTAATTGGTTAACTTAAACTTACCCCCTCTGTTGCAATTGATGCTCTTCCTAATTCCAACATAGGATGAACCCTGTATTTGACTTAGGGTTCGAAATTTTTATATTTGGACGTATTTAGCAATTTCTTAATACATATATAAGGTCTGAGTTAAAGCTACTGGGTTGTGCTAAACCCATATTATACATAAGTCTCTGCGTTCCTCTATAATATAAATCGTTCTCTTATTATAGTTACCTGTTAAACATGTTTACTATGAGGGATCACAAACAATGGTGAATTTGTTTTTAGTGCCTATATAATCACAAGTTATTGGAAGCAAATACGGAATGAGATCTGTCTCCAGAAAACGCACTTGCTTGTTATTCGGTTAACACTCTCTGGATGTATATCACGCCTTACACAGTTTGTCGCTTTTTGTTGTGTCAATTGTAAAATTGGATAATCTTTAGCCTCTTTAATGACAATCTCCATATGATGCCGTGCAGGTTAAATCAACAGAAGGTCCATGTTTGATTACAGCAAAGGTTGGTATCTTGATTCATTTTTTTGGTCCTTTAGTATGTGTGTCCAAGAATAGACATTTGTTGCAACTACTTTTATAGGGTTGCTGTTATGTGGTCATGCATTTCGTTTATAACTTATGATGTAATGAAGGAAGTGCTCAAACTAACTCGTCAACAGCTTTTAAAAATGGCCACCAAATGTTTGTATTGCTAATCTTCGGGACTAATTGTTACGAGTATGATATTCTTTTAGCTGAAACAACAGTTTCTGAGAATTGTGAGTAGAATCAGCTTTATCATTGAATAAGAGCTTCTTTTTTATGTCTATTTTGCAGCTTAAGCGATGGGAGCGTAAAGAATGTAAGCCAAACAGCCTTCCAGTACTACACAAAATGCATGTAAGGCTGGGTGATACTGTAAAGGTAATATCCGGCCATGACAAAGGTAAAATCGGAGAGATCACCGAGATCATCAAGCACAACAGCAAAGTAGTAGTAAAAGAGGTGAACTTGAAAACCAAGCATGTGAAGAGTCGGAGTGAGGAGGAACCAGGCCAGATAGTCAAGGTTTTATCTCGACTTCTCTCTTCTCTAACTCACCTGAAAATTGTTATCTTGAGCTTTACATTTCGTCGTGGCTAGCATTGAATTCATCTTTGCCCTACCAAGAAAGAAAAATTTGTATTAACATTTGAGATTGAAACTCCTCAACTTGTTTGGACTGAGACGTAGTTGTTGTTGTTTCAGATTGAAGCTCCTATTCACAGCTCAAACGTGATGCTTTACTCAAAAGAGCAGAAGGTAACCAGTCGGGTGGGCCACAAAACGTTAGACAATGGAAAAAGAGTCCGGTACCTCATTAAAACTGGGGAAATCATCGATAGTGCTGAGAACTGGAAGAAAGCAGTCAAAGAGAAGGGGAAAACAACAGAAGCAGTAGCTGCTGCTTCCTAGGAGATCACTGGTCTGTAAATTCTAGTTCGATTTTGCTAATTTTGAACCTTCTCTTATTGATATATTATGATTCTGTTATCACCTTCAACTTTTTAAATCAGTAGCAGAAGATTTTATATTAAAGTACATTTTACTCAAATTCTGTTTGCCTGTCTAATTAGTACAGTTTTCAAGTTCCAAGTATTTCAATTTTCAAATTAGAACCCAACAAGAAGTGTCCAATAAAGTACTAGTATTTGTCATCTTCATCATTTTCTTCTCCGCCTTCAACACCACTCCCTCAGTCGTCACCACTAATATTCTTGCTTCTCGTCTTCACTCAACCTCATTTTCTTCCATTGATTCTTCCAGTACTCATTACGTACTAGAGTTAGATGATGAATGGGTCGAGGATAATGATCTTCATGTGCTATATAATTCAGGTTCTTGTCCATTTATTGATGATTCTTTCAACTGTTTCAAGAATGTGGATGTATGTCATGACTCATGATACAGATTATCTCAGGCTTTGATAGAAGCAACATGGTTTGAAGGATCAAAATAATAGGGACCAAAGTCGCTATCCTCCACCCCAAAACAAAGAAAAAGAAGGAAAGGTTGAAGCAGAGGAACAGTCTAAATCAGCATTAATGAAATGCCAACTGAAATATTCCCCAATTGCAGTTGAATTCAGTTTTCTGAACACAAAAATAGATAAGTGTCTTTTCTATCAAAATCAGATGCATAAATACGTAATGAGTTGGCATTGCCATGCAATATTTATTAACAGATAGCTACTGTTCAAAACCAAACCACCAACGAAATGATCAACGAGAGAGATGTGGTGTGATAGATAAGAATCTCGATTCGAGTTCTCAGTAAGGAGCGTTCCTCCTTTAAATAGGACTCAAGCATGTTTATATCGAACTTCAGATGATTATATATACAAAAAATAAAAACCATACTAACTCAGATATAAAAATGAATCTCTTATGCTCACTCACAATTTGAATATCGTACTATAAAAAATACTTTTAATACATATTAAATGGTGTCCTTAGAACTTGTTATCTTAAGCAGAGGGAAAAATTCAAATTTAAAATTTAAGAGTTAACAAAAGAAATAATATCACCTAAAATAAAATTGGGTACCGCTTTTTTTCAGGTCATATTAAAAGCTAGAGGAAAAAGTTGGTTCCTTTTTTAACTTATCTTATGAATCTAGTTCATTTCTCTGAACAGCAGTAGTGATAAATTAAGAAAAAATAAATGTGCAGAGAATAAGAAAAAGAGGATCACAACATTTTTCTAGCAACATTTATAGTAGCTCTAATAAGACACAGATAATATAGTCTGCCAAAAGAAACATTGACAATGACTTATTATCTCCTTTATTTATGTCCTTTAGCATTTTATGAAGCATATAGCAGTACTAACATGAGGGACCACATTTTGGTTGCTGCAAGTGGATTTCATTGAGTTGATGATATAACAAAAACACACCCAGTTTGGAGAGGACAAAATGTACGTAGATTATATGAGGACAGTTGTTACTTCATATTTGAATGTCATACTATGATTACACACTCTCTAGAGATATTGTCTCACCTATGTCGGATCCTTTAAGAATGCACTATTTTTGAATGATCTGACAATATTTGGGAGGATTAGACACACGTCCAACAACATTTTAAAAGAGTCTGAGCAACATAGGTGCCGGAAGCATAGCTTACAAACTTCTAAAGCCTTAGCAACCATTTGTTTTTGAAGTCACAAGTGTCTAGTCCAAAACTGCCCAGATTTGTGATCATGGATTCATTCTAAAAGCTGAAATGGTCCCAAATCTATAGTTGTCTATATTACTATGTACAATAAACGGTATTCTGTTACACCTATACATCATACATGTACGAACTCAACCAAAAATCATCAGAGACACAGAAAAAGGTAGTCGACAAGTGAGGCTTGCTCAAGTGGTTGAGCACATCCATCATCAACTGGTAGATTGAGGGTTAATTGAGTCCCATTGGAGGGTACGTGGGAGCACAATTAATCCTCCTGGGGATGGGATGGTTTAAATAAAAAGGGGTAGTCACTCCCCACAAAGTCAACAAAAAACTATCAATGAAACTTTTGGATCATCTAGCTTTGCCAAATTTTGGTAAATAACAGATACAGAATTTGGACTCCAAGAACCAAAAATTCCTGCAGAACATGTCGAAAAGAAAAGCCTATACGTGACGCAGAATCTCATTACTAATTTAAACATTCTACAATGTCTTTTTTTCCCCTTAGGCTTTGCAGATTACCACAAAACATGGAAGAAGAGCCTTTGGATTAAGCAAGTAAAGCTCCTCTATATTCGAGTACACGCCAACCTTACCTGCCAAAGAATCGAACCCAGTTTGACCAGCCATTTCTTGAATGTTCTCTAATGGCCTATGCACTCGACCTGCAACTACTCTGCAGACGATCAATGCTTTTCTTAAGGATGGATCATCTTCACTCATCTCGATGCATTCATAAGCACTTCCACTCGTGGAGGTGGTGAAGACGCCAATCCCACCTTTGAGTTCCTTCTTCGTGGAGAAACCGTTTCTGATAATTCGACAGACGCAGCATTTATCAGATATACAGAGACAGCAGGATCCATTCATGCCAAGGCCGCAAGCCAAAGTAGTTCCATAGAACCTTAAAAGTTCATTTCCATCAGCTATACATCGAGGATGTTTCTTAGGGAGCTTACTTGCTTTGCTCTTCACCATCTCCCTATATTCTTCAAACCGAGCCAGAGTTTTTTGTGTGTTATGAACTTTCAAGACCCTTTCAATCCGTCCAACTTGGCTCTCGGATTTTAACCAGCTTGAGCGACAGATTATTTCTACAATCTTCCTTGAAGAATCACCCTCCAAAAGTTCACTCACTGTCCATTTGAGCAAAAAACAACATGCTAAGAAGCCTTTCAAAGAATTAAATCAACAAGTACAGAAAATGAATACAATAATAACAACTACAGCTACGACATCTCAATCCCAAGCAAATCGGGATCAACATGCCTAGGTGAGCTTGTCCAAACACATTCTGTATATGAGGATTCATCCTAATTTGACATACAGGGTGATGGGAAGCAAAATTCTTCTCTCATCCAGCAGTGCAATGCAGGCACAGATATCTACGCATAATGCGCAGAGAATTTCACAGTTAAAATTTCATGATTTCTTTTGCTTCACCTCCCTACACCACCAATCCACCAAAGCTAATCAATTTTGGAAGAAATTACTGATATCATCTCACCTTGAAGCAAATTTCAAACAAATTGACTGAAAAAGAACAATATTCTAACACTAAAGACAAAGACAAGAAGTTCCAATTCCTAAGCAATGAGGGCTCAGAAGCTGCAAATGTACAATCTGTGATGTAGGCTACACACACATAAGCAAAAAAAAAAAAAAAGGAGGTGGGGTGGGGTGGGAGGGGAAGAAAGAACAGAAAGCAAAGCAAGTACCTCTTTTCAGGAAATCTTAGTAGGTTGAGTATCTAAACTTTCACTTTATTAGTGCGAGATCGAATCAGGATACGGTTAACTAATCCATTGCGATAAATTATTTCTCACCTTGTAATTCACTACTCACTTTCCCACCCCAATTTTTATTTTAATATTAAAAAAGGAGTACTTTTTTTCAGACAAAGAGCATGAAAAAGGAAATAAGCTATAGTGTAAGCAAGAAAGCATGAATTTAGGAACAGGAATGATGAAAAAAGCAAAAAGGCAAGATTTTTTACCAGCATGCTTAGAAAGATGATGCTCTTCAAGAGCTTCCCATTTCCCAAATTGCTCTCTACACTTATGACATGTGACCCCAGAAGAAGTTCCATTAACATCATTATCAAGTGAATACCTAGTTTTAGAAGCAAAACTACTAGTATGTCCTTCTTTATCAACAAGAAAAGATGCACTCCTCCTTGTAGGAGTGTTCCTACAACCAGAATTGAAATAATGCATTGTAGGGTGCCCTCCTGGACCTGGTGTACCAGGCCTTAAAGTACCCACAAAAGTTGAACCACCGTTAGTACTCACCCCACCACCCCCATTACCACTTTCTTGAAATCCATTAAAACTAGTGATTTTCAGCTCACATCTTGAGTTACTCAGAATAACTTCATGAGTTATTGGATTAAGAAACTCACTACTACCAATAGATCTTGGACTACAACTAGGGGGTTTATCCAAATGTCTTTTACTTCCATGAATAACATCTTTGAGATTTGCTATAGACCTTGAACAACCAGACCTTCCTCCTCCTCCCTTTTTAGTCAAAATTGTGCTCAACTCTTTTCTTGTTTTTGGGTCATGAACATCTGATGGCCCTGATTTACAATGCAAAGATCTCTTTAAAGAAAACCAAACTGCTGGCATATTCTTCTTCTCCCCCATTTTCAAGATTCTATCTTTACAACCCTTCAATATACTAAAAAATGTAACTTTTCTTCTACTTATACTCAGATAACTTTCTAAAAGAAATGAACTTTCCTAAAGTTATCATCTTTTTCTACCCCCATGAAACTCAAAAAAGTTAGTCAAGAAGATATCTTTCTATTCTTGACTGACATTATCTCCCTATGAAAAATGCTTCTTTTTAGCTATCAGAAAACAAACCCCACACAGCATCCTTCAAAATGCCTTGAAAAGATTAAAACTTTACACAAATTAAAGTCACTCAAGAAAATCCCAACTAAAAACCCAAAAAAAGTTAGTGAAAATTATCCCTTGTAAAAATCCCTTTTTTTAGTTATCAGAAAACAAAAGTGAACACCCATTGCTCTCAAGAAGACAGCCCCAAAACAACATTCAAAATGCCAAGAAAAAAAATCAAAACTTTACAAAAAAAATATTAAAGTCACCCCAGAAAATCTACTACAAATCCATGAAGAAGAAGAAGAAAAAAGTTTTAGAGGCAAAAGAGAAAGAAGAGGATATTGTCAATTGAATGAAAAAAAAGCAAGAATCTATTGGGTTATTATTAAAGGAACAAGACAAAAAAAACATGAAGCTTTAAAAAATGGCAAAATTATATAAATACACGCTCAAATTTTGATATTTTAGTATTCCTTTTAATTATATTAATTGAATTTTAAGATAATGCATACTTATTAAGGAAAATATTTAAGACATAATTTAAATCATATTTTTCACTATTATTTTTTGTTAAATTATAAATATACTTTTTAAGTACATTAATTAATCTCTTTGAAAATATCAAACTTTATTAAAAAAAAGGGCATATATAGAAAAAATTTCAAATATCCATCTTGAATTTTGAACAATGAAAAAATCCACTTAATATAGAATAAAAGTATAAGTGAACAATTCAACTTTGAATATCTATATTTATACCTTAATTCATTTTTATTGTGTCAATTGAACACTTTAACTTACAAATTAATCATCTAAAAATTTATATATTACGGTAATGCTTGTATATCTACTAGACACAATAAAAATAAACTAAAATATTTAATTGTCGTTTAATATAAATTAAGGTGTACAAATATATATATATTTTCAAAAATCGAGTTCGAAGTTTAAATTAATGAAGACAGTAACATAAACAAAGGTGCACGCACAGTATAAAAGATTCAGAAAAGACAGGCTAAAAATTGAAAATTCACTCTGACACTTGAAGAGTCACATTCTCACGCACCTCACCTCACATTTTTGAATTTAATAAGAATCACATTTGAATTTAATGATATTACTACTATATATCATAGATGAATAAGATATATATTTTTGAAAAAATAACAAATAAGGTAATTAATAATATCACAAGTCTCAATAAATTATTTTTCCCTATTTTAATGAATCCAACAACTAATTTTCATGTTAATAGTAAGCTCTCTTGTTATGTCCTTATGGCAAGTTAAAGGTAAAAGTAGACAAACATACAAGGCCCACAATTTTATTGTTAGTATCCTTTTCGTTTGGTAGAGTATATTAGAAAATATAATGCATGCATTAAGTGTGTGTATTAGTAGTACCTTGTTTGGTACACTTTTTCTTGTCATGTATAACTAATGCTTGCATTAGTTATACACTCCATTGTGTATTACTAATACCAAGTAATTCTAGGTATTAGTAATACATAACATTTAACACTTGCATTAAGATTAAATAATTACAAAACTACCCTCATATCCTTTTTAAAACATTTCCTAACATTTTCTCTTTTTTTTCATTTTCTTTCTTGTCATATGTTTTTATTTTTATTTGTTTTTCAATGTCTTTTAATTTGTTGGTGTCTTAATAGACTTTATGGCCTCTTAAATATCTTTATTTTTTTTAAAAAAATAATCTAATTTGAACATAATTTAATAAATTTTTTTACTATTGTGGCGATAAATTTGATAAAAAAATTCTTTGCCAACCTTTCACAAAAATATTTTGACTCAAATAGTACAACTATTTAATATTATTTTTGAAAAGAAGAAGAAGAGGAGGAGTTAATGATGTTTTACAGTTTTAGCAAAAACTTTGTTGCAAGGGAGTGTAAAAATAAACAAAAGTGTGAAGGGTATTTTTGTAAACATATATTTTTAAATAGAAATTATGCAAGATTTGTTTTCTAATACATCAAACCAAACAGTGTATAAGAAATAATGCTTGCATAACTAATGCAAGCATTACTAATGCACCCAGTTTTGCATTATTCTTATACACTCTACCAAACGACCCCAAAATTAAAAAATATTTTTAGAGAATGCAACACAAATAGATAGTTTTTAAAATAAAATAAGATCATTTATTGCACCTAAAGAGAAAAGGTACAACATTCTATAGCACAGTGACATTAATTTTCCAGATTTTTGCTTGGGAATTTCAAATGATCAAACATTAAAAAATAAAATATTTATACTAATATTTATTATTTTTTCGAAAAATTAAATTGTTCCATATAATTGATATTTGCATTGCGAAACTGAGTTTTATATATGTGTGATTGTTTGCAATTGTTGTTGACGATTGCGAATGGTGGTGTAATGACAATTGTTGCTCTTGATTTTTTCTTCTTTAGCCAAATGTATGTTTTGATTTCTAGTTGTGTTTATGATGTGCTACCCAACTTGTGTTTTTTTTTTTAAAGCAAATTTGTCATTAGACAGTGTCTAGCGGTTTTTTATTAAACATAAAAAATTATCAATAGAGACAAGTACAAACAAGGGGGGCTTTACCTTATTAATCCTAATGAAGTACCTAACTTCTGCTACCTAACAAACATGAAGAAAATAAGAGCTAGAGAGAACTAAGTATTTTCTGATCATCACAGAGTTTGTAATACACTCCATGATGATATTACAAATGAGGATGCTTAAATAATGTAAAAACATGTCAATCAAGAAGAAAGTTGAGTTACCAGCCTCAAACTTTCTATTACAAAAACATGAATTAAAAAAGATTGATTGCCCATCAAAAGTAACTTAAAGTATTTTTCTCTTGTCTTCTTCTTCAAACCTATCCAACAACACTTGATGATTCATACCTTCTTTATGAATTTATTGAATCTAGTTGAACCTATTGATACTGTCAAATGGTTTTGCTTTGCTTGTCGCATCGATAGGTACCTTGAAACAAACTCTTGAGTAATTTTACCATCCCAACTATGTTGCCTTCCGTGTGTCTTCTTTTTGCTTTTGTTGCTTCCACTTCTTTGTTGCCTAGGTGATATATCCCCTTCCCTAGCCACTCTATCAAAGCAAATATCCAGCATATTGTCTTCCTCATCTTCATCAAGAGAATCCTCACCCAAATCTACTCCATCTTTATCAAGAGAATCCTCACTCAAATCAAATTGTATTTGAAACTAAGGCCCTTGACTCATTCTTCTTTTCAAGCACACATTTAGGCACAAATACGGGAGCATCTGAACTTAATTTGCTATTTAAAACAGGTGGTGAGACTTGTTTTTCTTGGATCAAATCGTTGTCATTCTCTGTTAACCTTACTTGCTTTCCAGTAGTCTTCAATGAAGCATCAAAGCTATTCGAACATAATAGGTCTCTTGAGGCATTACTAGTATCTTGCCTCTTCTCACTGTCATGAAAATTTCCAGTCAGACCCTTTTCACTACATGGAGAATTATTTTGACTAGTAGGGGAAAGGATCCGACTATTAGTTGATTTTTTGTGTGCAACCAGTGTCCAGTTTTTAGTTGGATTCTCGTTTTCAACTTGCAAAACATGCTGCCCAGAATTTTCAGCATCTTCAACATCAGATGTATCCATTAGTTTTTGTCCTGAATCCATTAATTTTTGCCTTGAATCAACTCGTAGCGCATCAACCCCAACTCTTGGTGTTCCCCCTGCGTTTTTAGTTGCATTAGACATCAAATTCAGCCCAACTTCTTTTGATTGTACCTCATTAGTAGCAACATGTTGGTTATTGCAATCACCTTTGTTTTCGGTAGTTGTTTGAACACCAATATTACTTGTATCAACATCCATTGAGTTTACATGATTTTGCTCGGAAGTAGAAGCAACCAATTGTCGATCTAAAGAAGTAGCTTTACTTTGATCGACATCTACAGTCTTTCTTTTTTCATTTAATATTTCTCTCGCATCGCCTTGATACTTTTCACTATCGATAGAACCTTTTAAAGCACCTTCAACGATATCATCAATTTGTTTGTTATTTTGATTTCTTTTCGAAATCAAACGACAACTATCTTCATCATGACCTTGGTGCTTACAATAATTGCAATACAAAGGTAGATTATCATATACAATCTCCTAAAAAACCTCGATCAACTTACCAGATTTTCCATCCACAAACTGCAACCTTATACAATTTGGAAGCTTTTCCATTAGATCAAGTATAACCTTGACCCTAGCCGTTCTAGGTCTTGGCTTGATTTGAGTAGCTTTATATATAGCTATTGGTTTCCCAGCTGCTGATGCTATAGACAACAAAGACTTCTTTGCAAACAAATCTGGAGATAAGTTCGGTAAAGAAATCCAAACCACTGCTAACGTCGTTTCCTCCTTAGGGTTATATCCAATGGACCATGGAAAACCCTTACATTGGTGCCTCTCCATTGTAGAGAAGATAATTAACTGAGTGAGATAAAGCTAGTACATAATCTTTATATTGATCAAACCTCAACAAAATTTGTCTTGGAGCAAGTAAGCCAATTAAACAATTGCCCTTGGTACCAAGATGTTTCGATAAAATTGACCTTAATACATTCAAATCTGGCGCACCATGGGATAATTTAAACACCATTGCTTGATGTAATCCCTCTTCGATCATAAAGTCTTGCCTTTCCTCCATTGAAAACGTGATAGTAGGTTCTCCATGGATTATTTCAATTGATTTTACGATTGTTTTTGAGTTAATTAGGGCATATTGTTTAGGATTTATAGTATTGGAATTGAAACGGGTGACGTATGTGGTGGTTTGGGGTGATTGGGGGGGGGGGGCTGAACAACCTCGAAAGGAGGCCGTCCAGTGGCCGTAGCAGCCATGATAGCTGCGCAGCTGCTACCTACGCCACCAGAACCCTAGGTCGGCAGAAAGTTCCAAACTGCAAGTATAATAGGTGTACGTTCGATTCCCCACTTGTGTATTATTAGCCAAAAGGAAAAATAATATGGAGCATATCTACTCTTTTTGCATGTACAACATATCTAATGTAATTTCACAAATAGAGTCTGAAAAAGTCTGAATATACATAAATTTTATTCCTATCTTGAAAGGTAAAAAAATAATAGTCTTTTCTAAAGTATTTTGCGCAAATATTATGTGCCTATATATTTGTTTAATTAAGAGTACGTTTTTATTACAAATGCTCATGCAAGGGAAGTTGTAAAATGAGTAGCTAACGTCGATTCTCATGATCACAAATTTTTCAATCTACTTATATAATCATAGCAAATAAATATTTTCTCCATTGCTTTCTTCTATTCAATCCATTCTTGCTAATATCAAAGTTACTGGTAAAGTAAAAAAAGATACAATCCTTAATTGGCCAAATAGCTAAATTAATGAAAGGATATTGCCAAAGAAATTAATAAGCTATTAACAACAATGGAAAAATATATATATATTATTTCATGAAGATACTTAAAAGGAAAAAGTCAAATTAGGTCTCCATGAGGATCGATATGGGTTATAGTTCTCCCTATAAAACATGCCCTTTGTAAAATGCATAAAATGAAACTCTGACAAATTATAAGTTGCAATTATCACAACGTCTGCTGCCTTCATTCATGTAGTATCCTCGACTCGTTTTCTGAACCTGAAAGCGGACATACTAGACTTTGAAAGAATTCTGTCAAAAGACCATAATCAAATTCGGATTGAGTTGTCCTTTGGATCGTATATCATCACATAATCATCAAACATAAGCAAAAATTCACCTCTTTTTGACTAATTAAAAGAGTGAGAAAACAAATAATCTACAGGATTTAGAGCACAATTGATGATAAACATCTTTATCCAAGATTCTTTGTCCTCGTACTCCTCCATTACCCACACATCTACGTGAGTAGTCGAATTATTACAAATCGCAGAAAGATTACTTCCTCAATAATGGCGTAAATTCATTCTTATCAGTTACCACTCTTGGTAAAAAAGAAATTCATAATAAACATAAATTGCGACCTCCTCTACATTTTCTACATATTATATGACAATGAAAAAAATAACAATGAGAAAAGAGACAAATATATTCCTCAATTTCACGAATTAAAGTGGATATACTCCTCGTTGAAACAGTGATATGAAAATATTTTTGTTGTTTTACAAATGGTGCATATATACCTCATTGTCTAACAAGTGGTGCGTATTTACCCCTTTATTTAATGGCCCGGATAAAAAAAATAAAAAATAAAAATATTTTTTTAATACAAATAAGATATTATGTGGCTTTAAAAAAACTATCTCACCCATTTTATTTAAGAAAATAAAAATAATTTAAAATTTTCTCACTAAATAATATTATTATGTTTTTTGTTTATGGAGTTGCAGCACACGGGTCAGATTTTGTACAGTTATTATACGGATATAAGTGGACGATAATTAAAAGCATCTAACGCTACAACAATAACAAAATGTTTGCTTCAATTATTTAGCGGCAATCATATAATTGTCGGTATTATATTTAACGTCAATATAAAATTTGAGTACTTATAACAAACACTCTATAAATACCACTAAAGGCAAAATATTTTTGCATCAAAAAAATTTATAGCCACTAAATGTCTCTTTTATTGTAGGAATACGGTGTTAGTCCTTAATAATGATTTGTATCTAATATACAGATCCTTCTGTCCTAACTTGGAATATCCTTTATATCAGATTCTTTTAGCATCAAGTTCTGAATAATAATTTTATCCCACTAAGTAATATAAGTCTTTTTCACTTGAGAAAAATATGGAACTCGTGTTCTCTGTCACATAAAAGAAAGAAATCTACTAACAATAGTAGCTTGCTAATATCAATCTTACTACTAAAGTTAAAAAAAAAATCAATCTTTGATTGACCAAATAACTAAATTAATGAAAAGGCAGCACCAAGAAAATTTAATAAGCTATTAGAAATAATGAGAAAAAGTTCTTTTTTCATTGAAATATGCAAAAAAGAAAGATTAAAAAAAAACAAGATCTCCATGAAGAGGTGTAAATATCTTCTTAAATATACAATGATTATTCGATTAAAAAAAGAAAATATAACTGCCCTTTGCAAAATGCATAAGGTGGAACTATTTCAAATCATTACTTATACAATTATACTTATTAGAGCTTCAACCACCTTCATTCTTGTTGTGTTCTTGGTTCATTTTATGAAAGGGGACAAATTAAACTTTCAATGTAGATTTCCACCGTAAGAGCTTTACTAAATTTAGGAGACTTGAGAATTCTGATCGAGTTATCCTCTGGATTGTATATCATGGAAGTTGATTCAAACATAACCAAAAATTCACCACCTTTTGACAAACAAAATGATTGAGAAAGAAAATGATCCATAGGATCTGGATTATAATTGATGATAAATACTTTTATCCAAGATTCTTTATTCCCATACTCCTTCATATACCACACATCTACTTGAGCAATCGAATTATTATAAAACATAGAAAAATTACTTCTCAGTGCTCTCGCCATGAGAATACCATGCCTTTCTCCATAAAAGGGATGTTCCATCTTTCTCCATTTCTCATCAGCCAAATCAAAAGATGTGATGCCCTAACCCCTTTGGTAACCAAGACCAGCACTAGTAGCCCAGTGAAGCTTTCCATTCACAAATTTACCTGAACTAATTAATCGCGTCTCATTATGAGCATAACTAGTTCTCCACCAAGAATAATTCTTTAGACTATAGATATTAACCTCTTGAAAATCAATCTGACGGCCAATATTAGTACAAATACGTACTACCTTATAATCATCATGGATTTCATTGTATCTAAAACCATATAAGAAATGGACAACATCGCCCACGTTAGTTTTAAAATTAGGTAATTTCCTGAACTTTCTTATTGTTGGGTTCCAGAGAAATAATTCCTTTGAATCATTTAAAAGACAAATCAATCCATTTATAGAACCCCTGACCAAAGAATATCTACTATAGTTTTTCATGGAGATAATCCATATCGGATTCCTCAATAGACTCATAAAGTAAAGACTTAAGCGAACAATCCTTATGATTTTCGGGATGGCCAGTCCTTAATATAAGCCTATGATTGGTGTAGTCATTTTTATTAGTTGATAAAATCATATGAGACTTGATAAGCTTAAGGCTACAGATCAAAGCAATCCAAGTTTTCGAAATAGACATGCACCGCAATAGAGATTTCAATGGAAGCCTTAAGAGAATTTCAATAATAAGATCAAAGCAAATCAAGATTGTTTGTCCATCAGATTTTGAATTTTCTTTCTTTCCTTCACTATTCTCTCCATTGAGTTCTTTACCGGGTAGCATTGTGATATGGTGATTCTTTGAGAAAATGTTGAAACTCATAAAGAAAGAAAGCAAATATAACGAAAATTTTGGAGCTGATAAAGAATAAAAGTAATTATATTACCAAATTAAAAAAAATTCACATCTGGAATTTTTTTTTTAACTGTTATTATCTTTATCAAATAGGTTAATAATATTTATGTACTAAATGTATAAATATTTTAATGCTGCTAGATTATTATTAAATGTAATTTTATGATGAGACAATAGTGAAGTCAAGAAGAAAATTAGTGGTCAACGAAGTCGGACATAGTGAGACCAAATGTTCAAAGCGGCTAAAAATGCTAAGAATTATTTTTCCATTATTGGTCAAAGCATTGGCGGATATAAGCTTATTGAGTACATGCATAAGTGGAAGTATCAAATATACAATAAATTAATTAAGGTGCGGGAAAGTTGTCTTGCAAGGAGGTTATTTAAAAAGTATATGAAAAGTTGGCAAACCAAATATAAGGCTAATAAAACTTTATAGACGTTATGAACTATGAAGCATTAGATTCATTGCCGAGGCTGCCATAAAATCATAGTTAGTAGTTTTATTTTCATTTTTCATTTTATGCTAAAAAATCTAATGTTGGAGACATTCTTTGAAAATAAGAAAACATGCATTGCTGCTTTTCGTTCTTCAAATCCCAGCTCTTTCATATAAAAATAACTTTTCATGATCTTTGATCCCACAAAAAATTACAAGCAAATCGATTTCCAAATTAATAATCCATGTAATACTAGATTCTATTTAGTGAAAGAAAATTTAAAAATTTACATTGATGCTCCAAGAAATTAAAAAAATGATGCTATGAAGACTTGGCCCTCAATAACTCTTTTTTGTTTCTCACAATATTCT